CAGCTCAAGAGGTCCCTGGTTCAAATCCAGGTGCCCCCTTTTGTGACTTTTTAAAAAAACTCATAGGGACTATCATTCATATTCTGTTCTATGTTTTTTCCATTCATTATAATAGTTAGTTCCCCTTGAGTTGGAAGATACAGTTCAATCCTGTACAACTGTCCTATTAGTTTCCATGTTCTTCCTGCATTCTGATACTTTTCAGATTTTTTCCATTTCTGGCTCCCCTCCCTATGCATATATCTAATAACTCCAGCTCTATTGTCTGTGGTGCACAATACTTCTTGGCTTTTCCAGACTATACCCAACATACACACACAGCAGACCTCCAGTGAACAGACAGTATCTGTAACTCTAAGTCATCTCCCTGTGCCTTCTTACCATAGCTATTGGGTGCACTGGAGTGGTGATCAGACCTTGGGAGCCAAATCACATCTTCAAGGTTATCTGAGTTGGGTGGACATTTCCTTCTATGGCTGCTTTCTTCTGTGCCAGAGCCTACCACACACTTGATTTAGATTCAAAGGTCAAAGCCTGGCTCAGCTGTTGTACCAGGAAGAAGATGGATTCTGTAGGGTTGTTACTGCAGATGCCAAAGATGAGAACTGTGTGACACTGTGAGTGACAGCCATTCTGTCATCACTGGAGGAGATGTGCAGGCTGGGAGCCTAGGGAGGAGAGAATGAGCCACTTCTGACTAAACCAAAATGGCCATGGGAAGTGGGGAGGAGATGTGTCTGATTCTCATTTATAGGCAGGCTTTAGGAATATAGAGCTGAGGTGTTTTTACAGCCAAGTTTGGTCTATAAAGTTGCACCTCAACTATAATTTAACTTCATGTAACTGAGTGTTACCACAAGGATGAAAGGAATTATCTAGGCAGTACTTAATACATAGGGGGTATAGCTCAGGGGTAGAACATTTGACTGCAGATCAAGAGGTCCCTGGTTCAAATCCAGGTGCCCCCTTATTTACTCTTAATTTTGGTACCTAAGGACACTCATCTTAGATATGTCCTCAATTAATTTCATAGGTTACCATTAGTTTAGGTTTCTAGAAACAACCCTAATACTTCCCACTCAGGACTTCATGAGAGGTCACGACGCATCTGCCTTTTATTTGTACTCTCACTATAACAAGTCAACAGCTCACAGGCCCCATTTACCTAGAATCCTCCACCCTGTCAGTACAACGCACATAGTTGGTCTCAAAGGTTTCCTCTTGAAGCACCTTCCTGATCTGCTTTTGTCCACAGGTAAGACATGGTTCTTGGTAGGATCCACAGCCAGCCCCTGAGTGGTGAGCTGCATTTGTGAATCCCCAGATTCCTACTGAGGAGGCTGTATTTGGATGCAAGGGCTGAAACTGTGTCATGATGACAAGCACAACACAGAAAGCAAGACTTGAGGAGAGGGCCGCAGATGCCAGGAGAGGTGCTGTGGAGTTATAGGTAATAAACAAGCGGTGTCGACCAGATGCCAGCAGAGAGCTGTGCTCTGAGTAGGAAGACGATTGGTTCCTTGCATACATCTGGCAGCAGTAGGAAGTCCCAGGTAGTTCTAAAGAGTGTCTGATTTTTATTCCAAGACACAGAACTTCCAGAATGTCCTCTGCTGGAGGAAACTACTATTTTTTCCTCTTTAATTTTTTAAAAATAATTTTTAATAATTTTTATATAAATCAGTTACAGTTACATAAGTCAGGTAACGAGTACATTTCTTTTTGGACAGTGTCACTCCTTCTCTTGCTTTCTCCAAATTTCCCTAATTTGCATAATTTTCCACATTGTGTCTAGTGAGGACCACTGCTGCATTTGTTCACCTTTTGTTCCTCTGTTTTTGTGTCCTTCTTGCCCTCCTGAAGACAGATAAATGAACAAGCAAGACAAAAAGAAAACAAAAGCAAGGAAAAACCTTCTTAAGGGAACTTTTTTTTTTTTTATATATAGTTCATGGGGCTTGAACTCTTGGCCTGGGCACTGTTCCTGAGCTCTTCAGCTCAAGGCTAGCACTCTACCACTTGAGTCACAGCGCTGCTTCCAGTTTTCTGGTGGTTAATTGGAGATGAGAGTTTGGATCCTCAGATCTCAGCCTCCTGAGTAGCTAGGATTACAGGCATGAGCCACCAGCACCCGGTAAGGGAACTACTATTGAATGTAGAAAAATATGATTCTGAAAACCTGGAAGGCAGAAATATTCTTGAACTTACAGAATTGGTAAAGGATATTTTAGGTATAAAATGTAGATTACATGAACAATTTGTTACAAGCTGCCTTTGACAAGAATGCTACAAGAATGTTTTGAGTTGCAGTAAGAGCTGACTTGTTTTTTTTATGTAATTGGGATTCTGAGTCAATAGAAACAGTCCAGAAATCATGTGATTGGAAAAATGAAAGTGGTCTCTCCAAAACAAAGAGGGTGTCATTGATACATTACTCTAGGCAAAAAAGAAAATGTGTCCTGTTAGCAGGGAAGTGATAGAAAACAACCAAAAGAAACATTAGATGCTAATGGTTGCTAAAATAAGCAACCATTATTTGCTAAGCATATCCTCTCAGATGGAACAAAAAGAGTTCTTAGGAAGACGAAGGCTTGGTTCCCAGAATGCCTGCTTATCTAAATATATAAATTAGGAAGCATTGTTAAAAGAAATTTGAAGCCAAGTGCCAGTGGCTCATGCCTGTAACTCTAGCTACTCAGGAGGTTGAGATTTGACAATTGTGCCTTGAATCTACCCCTAGACAGACAAATCTGAAAGACTTGTAACTCCAAATAATCAGCAAAAAGTTGAATATGGAGGTAAATTTCAAGTAGTAAAGCACCAAAGGTGAGTATATGAAGGGAAACAACAGCGTGAGACCCGAAGACACAACATTTTTTGGCCATGCTTTAGAAAACAAAATAGAATACATGGGGAACCCACAAGCTTTCTAAGAGAGTGGGTAATGACCAAAGCATTCACAACCTGGAGTAAAAAGGATTTATAATGTAGTTATATATCAGAATGCTATATCCTCTACTATTCTAGCATCCATCCTCTAGCAGGTAGGACTTAACTGTGGAGACAACCACATATTTTTCAGGGATCTTTTCAGAAATTCTGAAGGACAATGATGAAAAAGGAACACTTCTTAGAGGTAGAGCTCAGTATTAGACAGGTCAGAGGTTTGAGAGCCATATCTGGGTAGCAGCACGGGGTTTAATGAAGGAACATTCTGTACATGTGGAATGCTTTTTTTTCCCCTCTGTGTCACTGAGGGTTGGGTGGTTTGTTACGTCTTGTGATTGTGAAAGGGCTGGAAAATAGAGAAATTGGTGTCTAGAAGTGGACTCAGTTGGAGCCAAGCTAATCAAGGCTCATGGCCACTTTCCTTTGTGTGTGAAGGTCTATGAGCCAGTTTCCATGACTACATGAACATTAATTGTGTCCTATTTTAAATATAAATGTTCATCGCAGTAGGTCTGTGCACTTCTTCGGTATGGGGGTGGGGTGGTACAGAAGAGACAGAAGTCTTGTCTTTTTAGGGTCAGGGAACCTCACCAAGACTTAATGTGTTTCACAAGGGCTTGGGTTCTGATTGGATGAGGCATTAGGGAGTCTTTGCACAAGTCTTTTGTATGTGGCTCTGACCAGGAAGGTAGAGTATGGTAGATACTTCCAGTTCTTTACCTATTTCTTATCACATCTTCCCTGCCCTTGACTAGCTCAGTTGGGCTCACTCTGTTGCATTTCTAGCACTGTCATTAAAGCTTCCCGACAGATGTTACTCCTCCATCAGGAACCCCACGTAGAACATACATGGAATAGGAGAGCCTATCTCACAGAGGCTGACCAGCAGCCTGAAGCAGGGCCACTTAAGTCCGGCTTAAATCATCTCATAGGCCCACACACTACCTAACTGTGATCATGCTAATACATGCTGTGTGAGAGCTTGAAGACTCCTATTTTGCATGAGACTGAAGTTTGGAAGCATTGTTGCTAACACAGCCATGATTCCTACATCTGCATCTGCCCCTAGCATTGGTTAGGTACTGAGTGGAGAGGAGGAAAATAATTCATTGTCTTGAGGATTATAGATGTGGAAAATGCAATGAAGAGGTGACAATGGGGGATGGAGGGCTGAATTCATGGCCACATGATTTAAACCAGCAGAAAGCACCCAGCCAATTGTTGTTGGGCCTGTCAATTTCCCTAGCTAATCAATAAAAGCTATAGTGTACTATAGAATTGATAGGTGTGGCAGGATCCTAAAGCTCACTGACCCTAGACATTCTTTGAACTACTGTTGGAAAGAGAGAGGAGCTGGACTCAAGCCTAAGGCATGACATCAGATGCGGAAGTTAGTGGCCATTCGCTGTGTTAAACCTTTAAAAAGCAGGAAGTTACTACAGCCTGACTGGGTGAAGTGCTCCTTTGTTAGTTGGTGCCTGAGATTCTGGAAATTGCCTCCAGATTCTACAATCATTACTATTTAAAAAAAAAAAAATCTCAGTATGTTCACAAAAAAAATAATAAAATTAAATTAAAAAAAATCTGAGTGTTTGCAACGGAACAATTAAAGTATTTCTGAAAAAGCCATCTTTACATGCTTTTAGTCATTTGAAACTGTGGTCAACACATTACTACTCAACAGTCACTTCGGGCTGAACATCTGAAGGAGTTACGGATCCATCTAAGAAAAAGTTACACAGCAACTTGTAATCAAAAGGCAGAAAGGGCGGCAGGAGAAAGTGACTTCACAAAATGCACGGAAACACTTGGAAAACCTTAGGCCGGAACCACCGATGTTCTGGTGTTTAATGAGAGACAACGGCCCAAGTTCCAAGCTGTAAAGACACCACGTGTGGCGCTCGGGGAGATCACAGGGCACGCTCGGGATGCGCGGTGGCCTGCCATCACATCCATCCGCCTTGTAGACCCCGAGGGGCAAAAGCCGCTCGGTTTTCCCTGGGCTGAGAAGATGGCGTTCCAGATCTCGGGAGGCAAACCATCGGCCACCTTCAGCCCTTGTGGGTGGCGGAAATCCTGTGTTCTCCTTCCGGGTCCTCCACCCCAGCCTGGCTCATGAGGTTGGCGATGGTCTTCTCCAGATCATCGGTGCGACTGCTCATGTCATTGATCTTCTCAGTGATCTGCTCCGACATGATCTGGAACTTATCATGCATCTGCTGCAGGAGCATCTGCAGCGCCGCGATGAAGTCCGGCACGTTCTTGGGGCTGGTGGTGTCCATCTCCCCGGAGTCCAGCTTGGCGGCGAAGGACTGGAACCATCGGCCTCACTTCCGTTGTCTGCGCAGACGCAGCCCCGCCCCGCCCCGGACTGTTCCCCGTCCCCCTACGACTTCTCGCGATAGGACGGCCTGCTCGCGGCCTGCTGATAAGAGTCCCAGGAGGGGCTGGGGCGAGGCGGGCTTTTGTAGCTCTGGGGAAGAGCGCTCGGCCACCAGTCCCGCTGTCCCCGGTTCAATTCCAGGTCCTCTGCCGGGGCGCCATTTTATCCAAACCTTGACTTCCCTTTTCTTTCTTGTTGTGTTGACTCCTCACTCTCCCCGCCCGGTGTCATGGTGACTAGGGACCGGCCAGGGTCCTGCCGGAGATGATATGATCTTCCCTTGCAGTTCCGCGTGTTTCCGTCCCGGGGGCCGTGCTCGCTCAGGTCACCCAGGCTGGCATTACATCAGAATGGCGGGCTGATCTCCAGTCCGGTCCGCAGGGTCGGTGGCCGGTGGCCGGCAGGCACGTCTGCAGCACCCGCCTTCCCGGCACGCCTCTCCCTTGCACAAGTATTGTTTTGGAACTGGCCACGGCATCTGTGAGTGCCGCTCCGGGTGGGCCCCGAGGATCTCAGGCCTGGCCGGGAACGAGCAGGGGAGCCGGGGACGGGCCCCGAGGGGCTCAGGCCTGGCCGGGACGAGCAGGTGAGCCGGGGACGGGCCCCGAGGGGCTCAGGCCTGGCCGGGAACGAGCAGGTGAGCCGGGGACGGGCTCCGAGGGGGCTCCCGAGGGGCTCAGGCCTGGCCCGGGAACGAGCAGGTGAGCCGGGGACGGGCCCCGAGGGGCTCAGGCCTGGCCCGGGAACGAGCAGGTGAGCCGGGGACGGGCCCCGAGGGGCTCAGGCCTGGCCGGGAACGAGCTGGTGAGCCGGGGACGGGCTCCGAGGGGCTCAGGCCTGGCCGGGAACGAGCAGGGGAGCCGGGGACGGGCTCCGAGGGGGCTCCCGAGGGGCTCAGGCCTGGCCCGGGAACGAGCAGGTGAGCCGGGGACGGGCCCCGAGGATCTCAGGCCTGGCCGGGACGAGCAGGTGAGTCGGGGACGGGCTCCGAGGGGCTCAGGTCTGGCCGGGAACGAGCAGGTGAGTCGGGGACGGGCTCCGAGGGGCTCAGGTCTGGCCGGGAACGAGCAGGTGAGCCGGGGACGGGCCCCGAGGGGCTCAGGCCTGGCCGGGAACGAGCAGGTGAGCCGGGGACGGGCTCCAAGGGGGCTCAGGCCTGGCCGGGAACGAGCAGGTGAGCCGGGGACGGGCTCCAAGGGGCTCAGGCCTGGCCGGGACGAGCAGGTGAGCCGGGGACGGGCCCCGAGGGGCTCAGGCCTGGCCGGGACGAGCAGGTGAGCCGGGTCGGGCCCCGAGGGGGCTCCCGAAGGGCTCAGGCCTGGCCGGGAACGAGCAGGTGAGCCGGGACGGGGCGGAGCTCAGAAAGGCGCTGGCACCAGGCTGCGAGGCCTTGCGAGTGAACTGAGCTCTCAGCAGAGACGCACACGTGGGTTTAGGGTAGGTTTGTCCCTCCAGATTATACCGGGAGCTGGAGAGAAACATCGGTGGAGGATGCCAAGGGCTCGCTGGAAGGACAGAAGTGGGAAGAAGGCAGATCCTCCATGAGCTTGCAACCTGAGCCGTCAGAGCTGAGATCTGGGTCTGCCTTTCTCCAGCACTCACCTCTGGTGGGCACTGGGGTGTCGTAGCCCAGGTACACCGTCTCCACCCATGTCAGCACAGAGATGTGCCAAGGACCCGCCTGCCCACCCTCAGTGTTTTTAGATTCTGCCTGGGGGAGTCTAGGTTACTGCCATGAGTGGACAAGGTCACTAGTTCCCCGTGTACACCTGCCCCCTTCTAGCTTCTGATGGCCCAGCACCAACCACCTGTCAAGTGATTTCCACTGCAAAGAAATTCATGAGGTTTGTAGACACTGAGGCCGTTGAGCACAAATGTGGATTCTGGTTATGGTTGGATCGATAGCAATATTTTGTTTTGGTATGATTTTAACCATTGTCATGCATTCATCTTCACATCCATAACATGGAAAAGCACAGATTAAACCATCAGTCCTTAACTGGCTCTGACTCCCAGGTATGTACAGGGTTTGTTAGAGACTCAGTTATCCCCAGGTCCCTCCCCAGAGAGTTGAGGTCGAATGTTCTCAAGTGGGAGGGCAGAGCTTTAACTCTTCTCAGTCCTGCTTTCCCACTCACTTTCTCACTGATCTGATGTGTTGTTCAGTCAGCTCTTTGAATCTAGGTGAGACTGAAGGCTGTTCTGGATGCAGAGCTCCATGATGCCCATTGATTGATGCCCATGCTTTACCAGGACCTAGGAGGTGGCAGTCAGGGGCGCAGAGTGGTTCCCGCCCAGGCTGGCAGGAAGCATATGATGGCAGAATACTAGCAGGTGCACATCTCAGAATGACAGCCATGGGTGTGGCCCTGCAGGTTTAATGTACTTATTAGACATCCATAAACAGATGGGGGTATAGCTCAGGGGTAGAGCATTTGACTGCAGATCAAGAGGTCCCTGGTTCAAATCCAGGTGCCCCCTTCTTTTCCCGCCCCCTCAAGGAATATGATGTTCCCTTTCTACTGTGTATGTGTGTGTTTTGATATTGGGGTTTGAACTCAGCATCTCATGCTCTTGCTTAGCTTTTTCCACTCACTGCTGGTGCTCTACCAACTGAGTCACACCTCCACTTCCAGCTTTTATTTGCTGGTTATGTTTCAGGGGCTGACTTTGAACCTCAGTCCTCAGATCTCAGCCTCCTGACTGGCTAGGATTATAGACATGAGCCAACCACACCCAGCTCCTTTCCAAATTTTTCACCACCTTAATTCAGCCTTCAAGGTAGATGGAGGAGAGATGTGCCAGGTACTCAGAGAAAGCTACTCTCCTGGGGCTCACAGGTCTCTGACAGGTAAAGATGCTGTATGATGTCTCTGCTTCTGTGTGCCAAAATTTAACCTGATTGATAGAGTGCTTCTGAAGTGATTCTAGTAGGTAAAATCTCAGGGAATCAGTAATTTATTAGGCCACTGGATGTGGTCTGAAGACAGTGATTACCTCATTACTAGTGAAAAGTGAGATACCCTGGTTCATGTCATGAAGTAGAAAACCATTTAAATTAGTGCCTAATACCTGGAATCAAAACCTATTTACCTGTTGTTCTTACACTTGAGCTGCTGGGATCAGCTGATGACCATGGGGAATGAGGACTACATCTTGTTCAGATGCCTTCCTGCTGTCAGCTCCCAGAGACTCCTATCAAAGCAAAGGCTAGGCCATGAGAACAGACAGTGGGTGATGTTAGGAGACATTTAGTCTTATTTAAGGGCATGGAGTTGGCCAAGCTTAGGGCAGCATCTATTACACTGGTTAATTTGATGGGTCAGTTAGTGGATGTGATACGTAGACATTTGGTCACACACATCTGTGTTGGCGGCTGTACAGTCATTTTTCAGATATGACTACATGTTGATCAGAGCAAAGCCCTAACCTGTGTGGGCCTCCTGATTTGGTTAAAGTCTCAGAAAACAAGACTGGTGTTCCTGGGAAGAGGAACTCTGCCCCCAGAGTATCCTCAGACAGGAGCTGCTACATCCCAGCTCTCTAGCTTGTGGGGATGCCCAACAAAAATCAGAATTGTATATACGCAACTGTGTAAGACTTCTTTAAATTTCCCTGTGTATACACAAACACACACACACACACACATATTCACACATACCATATCAATTGTTTTCTCCAGACACCATTGCACAACATTCATTGTTTTCCTTAACAAGATACAGAGCCCCATCTCCAACAGAAATAGGACAATGAGCAATGTTTCCTGGGGCCCAATGAGCACAATTCAGCATTGAAGAAGGTGTGTTTGTCTGGAGTAACAGGTGTCAGGAAGGTTTTCTGTTCACACCTTACCTGCCTCTCTTTCAGCCACCTGGAAAGCTAAATTGAGGTGGTGAAGAACAATGGACAGGGAATATTTTATTACAGGGAAAAAGCAGGGGGCACCTGAACTTGAACCAGGGACCTCTTGATCTGCAGTCAAATGCTCTACCCCTGAGCTATACCCCCACCTGGTTATACATGTCTACTATACATTCTAAATCTGCATGGCCATACCCTGGCTGTCATCCTGACATGTTCACTTGCTACTGCTCTGCCATCTTGTGCTTTTTCTTTTAAATTAATGTACAGAGGAATTACAATGATATGAGTCAGGTAATGAGTGCGCTTCCTTTTGAGCAGTGTCTTCTGTTCCCTTAAATCTCCCACTTCCTCCTAGCTCCACCCACAAGTTGTAGAGTTAACTTTCATCCATTCCAATGAGCTCCACTGCTGTACTTTTCACCGGTTTCCCTTTGAGTTCTGTTCCCTTCCCCACCCTCCCAAATCATACATATGAATGCACCATACATAAGGTAAAGTGGACAGTATAATCAAAAGTGAAAAATTAAAAAAATGTGAAAATGGCATACTGCCAAAAATTATATACAAATGCAAGACAATCCCATCAAAATCTCAGTGATGTTCTTCACTGAGACTGACATACAATGTAGGTGTATCACAATACCAGACCTCAAGCTTTACTACAGAGTTATAATAAAAAAAAAACCCAGCTTGATACTGGCAAAAAACAGACTTGAATGGAACTAGAAGTCACAGAAATAAAACCACGTATGTATATTATTTTATATAAATATGAAGAGGAACTTAGTCATTGCATTGTGTTTCCTCTCCCAAGAGTATCCTCTTTTGAACTCACACTGTATGAGTATCTAGAATCCTGTATAATCTGTCAAATCCCAGTGCATTTTAGATTTAATTTCTGCATATCAGAGTGAGTATGTGAGTTTGTCTCTCTGAGCTTGGCTTATCTCACTTAACATGATTTTTTTAAAATTTCACCCATTTTGCAAATGGCATTATTTTATTCTTTCTAATGGCTGTGTAAAATTCCAT